CGGCCTCAGAGGTGCCTCGTCCCGTCCGGCGCAGGGTGCGGTGCCGCTCTGCACACCAGACCCTCTCCCGGCCCCCCGCTTGCGGCCTGGGGCGCGGGGTGGCAGGAGAGGAGGGGGGATACCGTGTGCCGTGTGGGGTGTACACGGGCAGAAACCCCAACACCACAAGGTCAAACATACGAACCGTGTGCAAAGAAGAGTACAGTGACGGTACAGGTTTATGTATAGCTTTACTTTGGTCCACTGCTACATATACATCATAAAAGACTTAAATACTAAATAAGTTGATTCTCCTGCGCTTCCAACCTGCACTTCTAGTGTTTTCCTCTGTTCATGGTGCCTGTTAGCTTATTCACTAGCCCAGATTCCAGGTCCTGCTTTAAAACAAACAAAAAGCCTCCAAGCTTACAAATGCACCACATCAAGCAGCTTTAAATAAAGATACTACTTTTACAGGTCTACCAAATCACTTTAATTCCCTGAGTACAGCTAGACCCAATAAAGAATACTGAAGGCTTAACAATGAAAGAGGGGCTTTGTGCAAGGCTTTTAAGACGCTTCTGGTAAGAGTAAGCATACTCACTTAAATAAATTTCTAAAAACCCAAACCAAAATCAAACTCTGAGAGGGTGAAAAAGTCCTTTTCCAGTTTAATAACTTCTCCTTCTACTGTCTCTTTGGAACCTGTCTGTACTTATAAAATGCAGAAATACAAAATAGCATTTGATGTGCTTCTAAAATAAAGTGTTATGGTCCCTAAGCCAGTAATTCCCTCTCAGATACATCAATACAGAGGCCAGAACCTGGTCCCAGCTTTCAGGGATCACCATGAACACGTAGTGCATGAATACAGTATGACAGAGAACACAGCATCTGAAAACCAGTGAGAAACAAAACTATCTTTTTTAAATCTAAGCCTGAATTAGAAACACAAACCTACCAGCCCAATTTTAGCTGTTTAAACTTAATAAAAACTCTGACGTTTGCTTAAGAGCTATTATACCAGTATTTATTCCTATACTGGAAGTTATAGTCCATAGAACATTGATCATAAGCAGCTGCTGAACAATGCATTCAGTTTATGGATAATATAAAAATACCAGTTGACTTACTCTCTTTTAACAAAGTTGCCCCTAGAAGGTAAGATACACAAATTTTAACTTGAAGTTTCATCACTAAACACAACTGTGTTCATATTTTAGAAACCAACTTACAGAATATATATATCTTGAATTTACAAAATTTTACCAGATCATATTAAGGGCTATGCTCTACAAAAAGAAAATTCCTGGGGCAAAAATGATAGAAACTAGGTTATTTTTGGACTTCATATTGAAGTTTTAAGGAAGAAAAACCAAAAGTATTTCTCTACACTGAGATAACGTTCTACATACCAAAATGATGTGATGGTAAATACACCTTTTGGCACATAATATCAGTGACACTGTTGGAGAAGTTGTTCTCACTGACTGCTGGCAGGCAGCATGTGGGACTCTTTTCCATTACTTCACTTCCATTTGTACAAGCAGTTCTGGCATTAATGACTGTGATTACGCAGCTGCACTGACCTTCTCCACCCCCCCCAAAAAAAAACCAGCCTCTTCCAGATGGTGCTACCAGTCCAGTCTGATGGGAAACCAATTCACAAATTTGCTCTTTCAGTTAAAACAAGCTGGGTTAGGATAAATCTAATATTCTAACTTATCTCCTATTGAACAAAGAGATCAGGAATCACTAAGTCTTACTAAGTGTGAGAAAGGGAACCAGCAGAGCAGAGGGAGGAAACCAATAGTGGAGAGTGGGGAAGGAGTGGAATCATCACCAAGTGCCTGGTGTTTGGCCTGAGGGCAGCGATGGTGGAGCTTCCACTAGCACAGCTCCAGGGAAAAGCAAGGCAAGAGCTGAGAGGTGCTACCCATTCTTGTAGTTGATACATGGCCAACCAAAAATTTACATATTTTTCCTGGAGAAAGCACTTAATTTAAATATGGAATAACAACAGATATGTAGCAAAAAGGTCTGGAATGTAAGATCCTGCACCTCAAGCTTTTCACGCATAAAGAAAACAGAACAAGTGTTTTGTTTGTTTTTCTATTTTATAAAGAAAACACACAAAAACCCTTAGTCCCAAGAGTTCACCTGCATTTCATATTCTTAAGTTTACAGTATAGAAGTCACATTAATGATGATAGTACTACCTGTCAGCATAAACCCTCTCTTCACCAGCACCAAAATGCCTTTTTAATTGGCACATAAGCTTTTCCACTGGTAACTGGTTCTAGTTGCTTTTTATCCATAATGGAAGTACAGAACATTTAACATCTGTACTAATACAAGTTGTAAAGTTATTAGCCTACTGACCACTCATTGCTTTTTTGATGCAATGCTAGCATCCGCCAGATTTTTTTTATAGCGTACAGTATTATTTATAAGCCTGTTACTATTGTGTATGATTTCATAGAGAATTAGAGATGTTTGAAATCTGGTTTTGAATGTTGTATGACCTAGGTAGTATTCCATTGCAGCACCCATAACAATAATACTCAACATACTGCTATTAACCTGTTGCGCAGTGTTTTAACATTTTTAAACTCTTGTTATATGTAATAAAATACCAGTAAAGACAAAAAATTGCCCCTATAATGAGGCACATTTTGGCATCTGTGCTAAATGCTGCTACATGGGCAGGCAAGTGCAAGTCAAAATATGAAAAGGAGAAAGTCATCATCTAATCACATTCATAACTTTTTCATAGAAAAATATAAATATATTCCCTGAAATGTAGGACAAAGAAGAGCCAGCATCCACCATAAGTTCTAGTGCTATTACCATAAAAAAAAAAGTGTGGGCTGGCTTCTCCTTTTAAGGTTACGTTTTGTGATTTATATAATCTAAACCTCTGTCATCATCGTCATCGTCACAATCGTCGTATCTCACAGTCCGTCTACCGCCGTTCCGGGTTCTTATCTTAGAACGCCGATTAGCTCTTCTATATTTGGTGTAATACAAATCTTCAGAGTCGTTTTCTTGGTTAAGTTTCCGACGTTTCCTTTGCTGGGGTCTTCGGGAAGGCTTAGGTGAGTTGCAATTGGTAATTTCTTTTCTAACGACTTCCAATTTCCTCTTCCTCTTTCTTGTTTCTGTGGCATTACTATAGATACTGTTATCAGATTCACAGTCTGAATCAGAAACACAATTGAAACTGGCTTTTGAAATTCCTGCAGTCCCAGGTGCTTCCACATTCTCTGATACTGAGCTTTTTTCATCTTTCTTCCCCCCTGTTTCAGATTCTGCTGTTTCTTTGAAGTCATCCGATAATTTTGATCTTTTGAAAGAAGCTCTAGGTTTTTTATTTGATACTTCTCTGATATTTTTAGTTTTGTGTTTAGCACAATCAGAATCTACCTCCTCTTCAGAGCTGCTTGTACGATGGTTGTGGGCAGAAGCTGACTGACTAGAACTTCCCCAGTTTCTCCCATTTTCCATCTTGTGGTTTGCGGAATTCTCCTCTGAATAGTCATATTTGAGATTTTTAAGATCCACAGCACAGACCCTTTTGTGTGCCTGCTTGTGGTTATCATCATTCTGCTTTTGAGTCACCTTTACCTCTGCATCAGATTCTGTATTTTCAGTCTCAGACTCACTAACATATTTTCTTTTAGGAGCAGACGACTGAGGGCAGGAAAGTTTTTTTCTGCCAGAAGGCTGTTCTTTCTCATTTTCAGACTTTAAGCAAGAATCTATCTCTGAGCTGCCGATCATTTTCTTCCTGGATGCTGTAGACACATTGCCATGAAGCTGCTTTCTGTTCTTTTTTACTGTGTAAACACTGTCTGAGCTTGACAATTCTTCCTTTGTATCACTCATTATCTTAATCTTATTTGCTGCCAAAGTGGCACATCTGCGTGGATTTTTCTTCTCAGTCACATTAGACAGCTTTATGTGTTTCTTATAGTTAATGATGCATGTCCTGCTCCTGAGCACTTTTCCACTTTGTCCAGTCTCCTCAGATGTTGATTCTACAAAATAGAGATGTAAAAGTTGTTTTTAATAACTTACATTCCTGAAACAAGTAGTTTATATAGCACAAACACTACCACCTTTAATAGAATACACAAAAGCTTTTTTTTTTTTTTAAATTTCAACTGTTATGTGAAATTTACCTTAAGCCTTTACTAAAAATACAGTCAGATACTCTCAGACATGCTTTTAACTCTCAGGATTACTCTTTTGAGATACTGAAAGGGTTTGAAAGTAGCAAGCTATCATTTTCTTACTAGAATTATCTTTCAAAATACATTCAAAATACATTTTAACATTTTTTTATTCTCAAAAAAATTATTATATTTCATGTAGACACAAGCCCCAGATGCCTTTCACAATTCTAGAATTGTTTCACATACACCAAAAACATTTAAACCGTCAGTTCCTTAGTGACTTAAACAGTGAGATTGCTTCTAACAGTGAACCTTCCATTCAGTATTTTTATTTTTAATATAGTACTTGCTTCTTATGTAGGGTTTTAAAACAAACATTCAATCTGTAAATAACGTGAACAATGCTATGAAGATCAATGGTTTTAACTTCTACTTTCTAAATAAAACAGAATTACTCATAGGTATCACTAAAAATTAAAAGCAGAAGTTCTTGAAGTAAATTTTTTGCATGGACTTGATAAAAAGAACAACAAAATGTTGCTATTGTAGCAGAAGTGTGTTTTGCAAAGTTACTTTTCCCAAAATTGTTGTCCATCTCGTATTTCTTTGTAGCTGTTAGTGATTTGATGAGCAAAATTGAGAAATGTGTGCTCCATTAAAGCCCCTACGTTATATTAGCCTGTCATCTCCTGATAACAGGCAACTTTGGTCGATCTTCAACTCATTACTTTTGATGATTCTTTACCTGTACTCAGCAAACAGAGGGCAAAATCATGGCAGCTTCTGTACATTTGCAGAACTCTAGGCACCTAAATATATTTTCAAGTAGAATTTCAGGGAAACAAGATCTGTTACAGAGGGCATACTCTCTCATCTTCCTTTACAGAGGGATGAAACAAGCTTGTCTAGCTAACCTTGTTTCAACTGTCTGAACTGCTAATGGCCAAATGCCTTCTGAGAATGACAGCCACCCAGACATGGGCACGCTAGCCTGAGACTTAAAAAACAGAGTAGGGTTCAGTTCCTTGCTCCTTCTGGCCAGCTTCGCCCGAAGCATTAGCACTGCAAGTCATTTGTGCTCTCTTGTTCCCCACTTCCTCACCTGTGAGGTAATGATAGGGCAATGCTTTCCTTAAATTCTAACAAGAATAAATGCATTGAAGATATGCTAGAGAAATTTTTTTAAAAGTAAGTTATGGGACACAAATTCAAATGTCCAGCTTGCATACCAATATTAAAAATCTCTTCCAATATAAAATCTCATAATTATTTCAGTGTAAATCCTTTTATGCATTACTCAAGTATATTCCTATTTTGATGTTTCCGAACAATAATTTATTGTCTTTTCGAACAGTTCCCAGAAATTATACATGAACACAACTACTGTTACTATCTGTACTGTGTGATTTTATGGCCAAAACGTAACACATTTCTTCTGAATACTACATAATGCCGTACAAAAGGTGCACTTCACAGCTTAAAAACCCTGAAGAGCTAAAGCTTAAATTATACACTGTCCTCCAATACTATCAAGTAGACACATACACAACATATGGCTGCTGCTTGTAGCTGTTATAAGGTACGCCTGAACAGGCAGAAGCAAAGAGCTTTAAACACAGTAAACTGCACTTGAAAGAGGAAACCACTGTAAGTAAATATAATGATACATCCTAACCTACTAGTGGTGGCAAACAACGGCACACAAGTTACTGGCACAAAGAGGCATTTTGACCAGTAAGTAAGTATGGAAGGGTATAACCCAAGACTAGGACTAAGACTTCCCTACATCTGCTTTGAGGTACACCTGCATTCTAGAAGGGCAGTTCAGAAAGGTGGAAAAGACTGCCTAGCCTTAATGCTGAGTACTAACTCAGCAATAAAAATAAAAGAAATACTATGCAAAATTGTGTGAACAGTTCATACAACACAATCCTATACATTGAACATATTAACTTTCCTTTTAGAATAACTGCAAGTCATGAGAGCTCTCAAAAAATTTGCTTTACTCACTGTAAAGCATACTGACAACTAGCAACTAACTTGAAGAAAGTTAGATATAGAAAAAGCTAATGATCCAGCTGCATCTATTGCCACTAATAAGTCAAGTCTTTTAAGAGCACTTAATATCTTGCACAATTTTTTTGGGGGGAAAAATCCCCAAAAACCCTAACCACAGTTAAAATTCCTCAGGAGTTTTTAGAGGTTCATAATCTGGTCCCTGTGATTCAGTGACAGGTTTGGGAAGGATTAAACCAAACACCACCCTCTGAACAGTCTTTCAAATTCCAAGTCAGGACCAATCCCCTAAATCCCCTATGAAGACACGTAATATACAGAACCTGTTTTAATAAATTTTATCATCATTCTGCTAAGCTTAAAAAAACCCCAAAACCCCAAATCATAACAGGTCAGCCAGCACACACAAGCATTTGAGTGACAGACAAAATTAGAGAAGAAACAAAAACAGAAAACTGAACTTTTTGAAACAAGTGGAATGGTAAATCTTGCTTCTGCAACTATCTGGAATTTCTGCCCTTGTATGTTAAATCTGGGAAAAGCCAGACATGCATCAGAACACTACCAATGCAGCATCAAATTGCCTCTCTGTCTTAAAAGGACACTACACATCACTTAAAGAATAAAATCCAAGTCAAATCAAGTTATAGGTTCTAGTGTACACCACAGAAATAATAATAATTAGAACACCTTTCAATCAAATTAATTTTCAAATACGATAAATAAAAATAAAGTTACTTGAACTAAAAATAATGATTGTAAGTCTGCTTTAGCACAGAAAATTTCATCAGAAAATTAAGATAATCTAAGGTAAGAACTATTACTTTACCCACAAACTCAAGGTAAGAGGACTACAAAACAGAGGGATTTTGTTACTGAAATTCACAAAATATGGAGCAGGTCAAAGAGAGCATACTACTCCTTTTCAGATTTTCTGCTACCTTGAGCTGCACCCCATAGAACTCATTCACAGCACCCTTTAGAATATTCATTAGTTTTGTGCCAACAACCTGAAAGCCAGTGTTTCTCAAATTTAACTGCCCTGACATGCATGCACAGCAATATTACTTCAGGATAGGTATTTTAGCACCAGTTACTGTATACTGCTACACAGATAAGCAAGTGCAACTTAAATATGGAAAGAACAATAATGATTTAATAACAAGTTTTTAACTGAGAAATGTATCACCTGAATTGCACAAGAACAGCCAGCATTCAGAACTACAAACTGTAATATTCTCTCACTGCCATGTTCAGCAACCTCCCAGTTCCAAACCTGTCTAGACTTTCAGACACTGTTGTCATCATCATCATACCTTACAGTTCTCCTTCCCCCATTTATAGTTATTTTAGAATAACAAGGATCACTAATACGCTTTGTATAGTGCAAATCCTCCCAGTCATTAATCTTATGTTGTCTCCTTCATCTAGAAGAGTTAAGAGTTAAATGCATTAACTTTAAAAATTTTACCTTTTCTAATGATCTTTGTTTTTCCCTTTCTCCTCCTCCTCTTTGTTTTTGAAGAAGTTTCACAATAATTGCTCTTACTGTAATTTGTCTCAGATTCTGTATCAGAAGAGAGATTGAAGCTGGCACCAGGTCCAGATTTTGAACTCCCTGTAATTCTAGCTGGCACCAAGCTCTTCAAGACAGAACATCTCCCATCATCCCTGCCTTCTGTTTCAGATTCTGCTGTGTCCTCTAAATCACTCAAGACTCTTGCTTTTTTTAAAGGAGCAGCAAGCTGCAGACCAGTTGCTTTTCTGCCATTCCATCTACCTGATTCAGAATCCACTTCATCCTCAGAGTTGCTCACTGCAGGCTTATTACGTGCAGATGTTGACTGGTCAGAAACTTTCTGACTGCTCTCATCCTCTGAATTATGGCTTTTAGAGTCCTCCTCTGAGAAGTCCAGGGTGGGACTTTTCATTTTGGGAAATACAGAATGGACTGTCCCACATAACTCTTTATGACCATTGCTTTGCCAGTTTTTCTGCTTCATCTGTGTGTCTGCTTCAGAATCTGAAGTTTCATTTTCAGATTCACTAACAAATTTTCTTCGTACAAGAGACGAACCAGGTTGAGAAATAATTTTCTTCTTGGTAAGCTGCTCTTCTGTTTCTTTTTCAGTTTCAGACTTCAAGGCTGCATCATCCTCAGACCCCTCCAGTAACATTCGCCTGGCTGCGGCTGAGGCATTTCGGTGAGGCAGTTTTCTATTCCTGCATCCAATGCCAATACTTTCTGAGCTTGAAACCTCTTCCTCCACATCACTCATTAATCTTAATTTATTAGCAGCCACAGCAGCACTTCTGCGGGGAGTTTTTCTATGTCTACCAATACTATTACTGAGTGACTCAGATGTCACTGCTGAAGTATTTTCAGAGTCACTTCCATATAACTTTTTCCGGACAGCTTTTCTTGTATTTCCATTCTCCTGAAGAAGTGTTCCTGTAAAGAAAAGGAGAGGTTAACATCTTCAATATAAAAATAGCAGCCTCGTAAGTCTTGTCAAATCTGGAACAGGTTCAACTCATGGACAAGACAAATGAAATACACGCCTAGTAGCAGTTACGTGCTTTAGCTGTCTGCCAAGACAGTTATTTAGCTATGTCATAAATTTTGGATTCATTATAGCTTTTTGAAAATTAGAACTTCTTTACCAACTACTGCTTTTACTTTCATTAAGATATAAAATGTTGCAATACATTTCTTCTCACTAGGCTCTTGGTTTCTGCCCTCCTCTTGTAAGTACTGAAAAAAAATATTTTAAAAAGTTGAGTGTAGTATTTTGAGAGCTTCAGAACTACCAACAATCAAAAAGTTAGTATCTTACATATACTAAAATTTAAAAAATACTAATTACATTTAGCTATATTTATATATACACACACACACACTTGTGTTATTTGCCATTCACGGGAAAACTACTCCAATCTTACCTATTTGTTTTCTTTGAGCAGCTCGATTTCTAGTTATCCTACAATTGCTGTTCTTTCTTCTACATACACCATTGTGTAGCAGAGGTGACACAAGAGCCGCAGAGCTTTCTTTGCTGTCTTCTGAGCTACTTGCAGAGGATGAAGATGAAGTAGATGAAGAAACCAAAGAACCCTCTATTTCACTTTCTGTGAAAAAAAATAGTAATTGTCAATTAGAATTCTAAACATACAGTTAGCTTCCAGTTAACAGCTACATTTTGCTGATGCAGGAAATCTTCATAGTTTCCTCACAATATTATCCTACAATACACTATCATGCCTTAATGTGTTACATGTATGAAATGGATAGCTCTACAAAATATACTACTCCATTATTTATACAGTGTTCAGTGATAGGAAGCTTCTTTAACCCGTATTTAAGTTTCCAGTAAAAAAACACAGCTGTTTCCAAATAACAGAATTAAGAGAAAACCATGTTAAAAACCAACGCAAAACATTCTGACCGATCTCTTTTACCAAGACTTGCATTCTTGTTCTTTGAAAGTAGCTGAATTTTTGTCAAGGTGAGGTGTAGCGGAAGAAGTAAAAGACAGTAAGATTTTTATGCCTCAGGGAACTTCTGTCACTTGCTAATTTCGCATGACAATTACATAACATATATGGGTATATAACCTGTATTTTATATAATACTATTTATCAAATACACTACATTTTCCTTTCAAATAAACATCCATTCACTACAACCACCTTCCTACAACAGCTGCTTGTAATGAAGAAATTCTATTATTCTATCCGGTAAGAGCATCAAGTAACCATGCAGTCAGCAGGTCAACTTTTTCTTGTCATCAGTCTTACTCAATTCAGCTTTGTTGTGAATCCCCATGTAAGAGCTGCAAAAAAATACCATCCACGTGGCTGCAAAATGGATATACAACCATGACATCTCTGCCTCTAAGAAGCAAACTATCCTATTGATAGATTTCTGCTTAGGTATAAGATTTATAATTAACAGAAGTTAAGTAAACTTACTGCATTCTATGGGATTTTAAAGCAGAAATTTCTATGTTTAGTATATGGATCTTTTTATAACATTCAGTAATGTAGTTAAGTGTCCAAAATTAATTACAATACACAAAATTCTGTATTATACAAACCCCAACCTGCACAGAAATCTTGTCTAAAAAAAATTCACATTAAAAATGCAAAGCTTGTTTAACAATTTAGAATGCAATTGCAAATTATGGCAATTATAAAGGAAAGGAAACATCAGTATACAATTCATAGATAAGACCAAGATCAAAATCCTCATCTGGAACAGATTCCATTTCTGACCTGATGATAATGCGGAACAATTTGTTTGTGTTGTGGATCTAGCTTTTCCATTCCTTTCAAAAGATGCCAGGCATGCTGAACCAGAGGATTCACCAGAGGAAGTATGGTTGTAATTGCTAGTATTCATTTTATGGCTTGCAACACAGATGGCTCTGCTTGAGGTAGGTTGAGTAGAAGAATCTTCCTGCTCAGATTCAGTTTTTGCCTGAGACTTTAATGGTTTCTGCTTCAAATTTCTAGTGAATGGAGAAAGTAGTAAAAGCAAGATAGGTTGTAAAACTATGAGTAATAATAGCAATTATGTATTTTAACAATGCTTCTCTCTGAAAGCTTAACTAACAGTATGCCATACAATTTTAATTTATGGAAGGGTAGTTAGATTTGTGAGCTAACACAGTGTGGGACAATTTTAACTTTGACAAGGTTAAGCATTAAGTACTTCCATTAAAATAATAGTCTACACTTCTAGTGAATTTATACAAGAGGAGATATTTTCCTCTGCTCTGGGAGACAAATAAATTAATACTGAATGCCTTCTAGACAGCAATATCCTCTTATTGTTCACCAGGAAATTGGAAGAACAGCCTCAATTTCTGTTGAATTCCCGGTGTCTTGTTAATTGCACAGAAGCCTCAAACAAAGTGCTATGCATACTAACATTATTCAACAATAAACTGAGTTCAAAATACACAAAGAAGGTGTATCTTTAGAGAAAGTTTACAGTCTAAAATAAAATGTGTGTTTGTACAGAAACTCACTGATTCGATTCTTCGTTACTATACATGCTAGAGTGCTACACACAGCCCTGGTAAGTCACTTGTTTTCACACTTAGAACTACTGTTTCGTCACTTGGTTCCTTACAGTCACAGGTTTTCAGATATCCATCTAGGCATACAAGAGGTATATATATGCTCTTTTTTCTATCCAAACACTCTCCCAAATAGTCCCAAACTTCAGTCCAGCTGAGCACCACTGACTTGTTTACAAGTCACATATAATTCTTCAGATACAAGCATTTATGTCGTTTCAAAGGAAACTTTCTGCCTATCCAGTTTTATACTAAAAACACTTTTTTTTTGCATGCCTTTCCTTCTACAAGAGAAGCAATTATAAAAAGTCTCACTGGAGTTAGCTAACCATTTAATAAACCAATTGTTCTCTTCTTCATAGATCAAATATGACAGTCAATATGAATATTAGTCAGCTGTGATACATTTCTACATCTTCATAATTTGGTTACCTGAGCATTTTGGTAGGATGCTGCACTGAGCTTGGATTATTAAATCTTCTGGTATACCTCTGGTTTCTTCGTAGTTTTTCATTCTGTTTCTGAGCATTTCTGTAATCTGAAACAATTCTTCTTATTTTCTCTTCAAATAGTGCTGACAATCTCAAGGTCATGCTATAAATCTAGGTAAGGAAGTGGCTTATATTAAAAACAGAACCTTTCATCCAAGAATAACATTTCTAAAATTAGAAACCGTACAGAAACGAAACAGAAAAAGCATAGCACACAATACTATACAACACTAGGTGAACAAGAAATTAACATATTAAAATTTTTTGTTATACTTCACCCAAAGTACCAATAAGCAAACTAATTCCAAAATAATACCTCATTAAGACAAGCATAAACCCCCCCAATATTAACAGCTACCTTTGACTTTTTGTTTGGAGTATAAGATTTTGCATTACTAAATATCAGTCTTATATCTTTGCACAGTTCCATTGGAGTGTCATAATTTCCAGCTTCCAGAGTTTCTTTCACTGTACCAAAGTCCATTGGAGTGTCTATAATATGTCTGTAATCCTAGATAAAACAAATGAAAAAAAGATTCAGGAAGGTATAAAGCAAAAAACCAACATTTTAGAGCTTTATTTCTATAATTTAAGGATAGTTAAGATGACCACAGATTATCTTAACCATCATCTGAAAACAGAAGCACCTACCACAACAGACAGCAATGCTTTTGCTGAGACTTGTTGGTTTAAAGTTGATTTACATTATACCATACAAACTCCTGATAATTTTCAAGGTCATCTTCAGACTTTCTGAAGGATCATGAGTTGATACAGCGCCACATGCAGATTTCCAGTTTCAATTCTCTTGAGTTTCCTCAAGAAAAACTACCCAGTAACATGCGAGTCAACATTTTTATTGTTAATCAAAATGAGAAATGAGACTGCTGTAAATCATCATGTAATCCTTTCTCTGATGCATTTTACTATGAGAAACAAAGTGATCTGGTTTAAAAAAACAAAACCACACCAAATCAAAATACACCTCTATCTTTCTCTCTTGTTAATGAGTTTTAAAGAACCTCAAGATGCTTTTAAAAACCTGAAGTGAGACCCAAACTCAGGATGTGAAGTCTACAGGAACACAGTTGCATGCTTGTTAAGAAGTTTTTTTTTCTTCAAAGTTTGTTGTGTTTTTAGACAAAAAGAAACTGAAGTTAGTAAGAATACCATGAACAGCTATGAGTAAGAAGAGGAACAAATAGAATTCATAGCTCACGCTCAGTAAATGTGTTTTGTAGATTATTGCTCAAGAAATTACAGAATCACAGAATGTTAGAG